AATAATAATAATAATAATAATAATAATAATAATAATAATAATAATAATAATAATAATAATAACAATAACAATAACAAGTTAGTCAAGGTATGGGCCATTTTAATAAAGACAATGGAAATGTGATTCCTCCTCATTTGAATGACCAATTGATGTTAAACAAATAAACAAATACCCTTTATGAATTACCAAATTAAGAACCTTTTGTAATTTTTCAATTATCGTATATATAAAATTCAGCATTTTTTTTTTATTATGCAAATAATTTAAACCCAACATATGCAATATTATTAAATGCGTTTGAATACAAAGCTAATAAGGAAACCATTACAATAATTTAAAATTGATTTTTTTAAAAAGTTTGGAACTTACTATTGATTTTAAAGCTTTAAAGGATAATATCACTGTGAAAAGTGGTCATTGTTTCTCAAGTACTTGATGAACAATATACCACGCTAACAAGTCTCATCATTGAGGCAAATACGTATATGGTCCTTGGGACTAACAAGTCTCATCATTGAGGCAAATACGTATATGGTCCTTGGGACTGAGACCGGACTGTACCAACAACACAACGTACTCGCCATTGAAAATATATATATATACCTATTTGGCTTTTATAAGTGAGACGGATAAGGCCCCCTCCCTATTACTATATAACAAATATTAGGATGGCAATATTTTTAGTCATGTGATATTTCACTGGTCACATGAATTGAAAAAAATCAGTGATTGTGGCTTTTCGTTGTTTTACTTTTTCAATTCGTAAAACATCCTTTATCTCTTGGTTCAAATTATCAAAAGTGTCGAATGTGTTATTCCTGAACATGTGGGTAAGTGTAGAATCCACAAATAATCAGTTTCATGACCTTTTTGATGCAATGACTTAGGACAATATAATGATATAGTGATGCAATTTTTCATTAGACAAGAAAAGTTCGAAAGCTGGCGAGAAGTCAATGATGAGCTAAACGGTGACTTAAAAACGGCAGAAGTTTTGGGATTTTTGCAAGTTAAGTTGTCAATACAAATTCGAGTGAATCAGTTCCAACTCAAAACAAACCAAATGCTTTTGGTATTAAACCTTTACTTCCCCAATGTCAACTGAATACAATAATAGTGACAAACTTTACAAACAAATTTATCCATTGTGTGGAGGATGACAGAAAAATAGAAAAGAATTCTATACTAAAGGAGGGAGATTAAAACTAATGGGACGCTCTTCTAAACGGATGATTTATTTTGTGATAGAGTAACTTTAATCCATATTGATTTGTATGTCATAATAGAATCAAACGATGGAAATTAACTGTTGTAATACAATATTAATATAAAATTTTTTATTATTATATCAGCTAGCTTATGTTATGTTAAACACATAATTGGATTGATCTGTCCTAAATCTGATCCATGATTTGTATGGTATTGATGCTTGATTGAAGAATCGTGTGATATTGTAGTAATCTATAACAAATAAATCAGTTTTTTTCTTCGCAAGGAGGCATTTTGACATCACCACAAATATGACTTCTGCACAAGGGGTATAACTCATGATATATACGTTCATTAAGATGACTGAGTAGATTAATAAATTAATAATGAATGCATTATCGAGTTTCAAAGAAACCTTTAACTTTACCACGTAAATGGAGTGCTGTGTTTTCAAATCTTCAACATATTTATGACTGAACAAAATCTAGCAACATTGTCCCAACAATCTTTTAGGATCTTCGGCAATTTGATTCATCGTTGAAGATTGTGGCGAAAAAGAAATTTCACCAAACACACACATCAGGAAATTCCCCCACCATAATATAATGCTTGTAAGTTTTAATATATAACATCAATATTTGCGTAATATTATAGGACCCGACATAAACTTATGCAGGTGGTGTAATACATATGTAAACTCGATAAGTCGGTCATGTCGGGGCGGACCACTGTGACCGACTTATCGAGAGAACCGAGTTATCGAATTTCATGTGATTTTTTAAATTTAAAATTTTTTAAAATATTTATTTATTTATCTTTTGTCTCAAACATTAGAAGGTTGTAAAATCAATCTTTTATACATATTTCTGAACATAATAAAATTTAATAGGAATACAAATGTATTTCTTCACACTAGATAATCAATTATATAAGTGATGATATAAAAATGAAATAAATAAATACAGCCCTATGAAAAATAAAATACGGAATTTGCAACTAAGTCGTACAGAATTACGTCATTATTTATCAACTGGTGGATCACGAATTGTGATCTTTGATTAGTTTTTTTTCATTCCTTCAAAAAAAATGTCACAAATAAATTCAACACCAACAATATGTATACTGGGATGTGGAACTATGGGTCAAGCAATCTTATCAGGGGTTTTAAAGTCGTTATCAAATGACACTACTATTATAGCAGCAAGTAGTAGTTCAACTATTACAACAACTTTTAATCCAAATAAATTCATTGCTTGTGTGTCAAATGAAGAATCAGCTAAAAAATTATCGAAATCACTTAATAATGAAAATGTTTCTGTTTTATCAGATAAAAATGTCAAAGGTGTAAGTGAAGCTGATGTTATAATAATGTGGTAATGTTTATATAAAATTATAATAAACTATTATTATTATTATTATTATTATTATTATTATTATTATCATTATTATTATTATTATCATCATTATTATAAGTTTACAAATTCATCATTTAAAAAATTTTTTTTTCTTTAAAATAATAAAGCACAAAACCTCAAATTGCAAAAAAAGTTTTAACCGAAAAAGGAATGTTTGGAGCATTAGAAAATAAATTATTGATTAGTATATTAGCTGGTGTTCCAATGATTCAATTAAAAGAATGGGTTCCTACTTCTACTAGAGTCATACGTGCTATGCCAAACACTCCTTGCATGGTTCATATTGTTTATTTATCTATTTATTTATTTATGCATGTCCATACGATTATTTACACATTATTTATGTAGATTCAAGAAGGTATGACAGTTCTCAGTTGCCATTCAGATATAAACCCTAATGACAAAGATCTTGCTTTGTGGATATTTCAGACATTAGGTAGAGTCAGATTTCTAGATGAAAAACATTTAGATGCTGTCACTGGACTTTCTGGTAGTGGTCCTGCATTTGTTTGGTAAGTAGTTAGTTGGTTGACTTTGAATAAATTGTATATTATTAAATATAAAAATGTTTGAAATATTTGAATTGACTTTATTCTTAAAAATATTTATTTATTTAGTGTTGTGCTTGAAGCTCTTGCTGATGGTGGAGTTATGATGGGTCTTCCAAGAGATGTGGCGGTGGAATTGGCTGCTCAAGGTACATTGTACATTTTAGTTTATTTTATGATGCATTTCAATTAATAAATTCATTAATTGAGAAATTTTAATTTTAATAAAGCACTTCAAGGAGCTGCACGTCTGGTACTTCAAACTCGTAAACATCCAGCTGCGGTTAAGGATGAAGTAACTACTCCTGCAGGATGCACAATAGCCGGATTGCTTACAATGGAAGATGGTAAAATTCGCTCAACAATAGCAAGAGCTGTTCAAGAAGCTACTGTTGTTGCTTCATCATTAGGAAAAGCACAAGAAAAAAAAATCTGAGTAATATTTTCTCAAGGAAATGTTATCATCTTTGTTATAGAATAAATTTATTATTTACGACACAAAGTTTTTAAATATTATAACCTGTTAATTGAACAAACATATGGTAACAAATTGAACAAAACATCATTTCAGGGTGTTTCCACTGTTCATCCATCATCCCAGTTATCTTGACATCATATATAAAGTTTGGTTATAATGATGCAGATAAATCACTAACTAAACTGGAAATCAAAGCAACAAAAAGTATACAAGGTAGTCTTTAGCTTATTCATCCCAAATATTTATTCAAATTGTTCATTTATTGATGCTGTGCGTGAATTTGAAATCTGCATGAATTTTGAAATCTGCGAAATTCAAATTAGCCAATCAGAATTTTGTCAAAATTTAATTAATAAAATTCAAATTCATACAAATTTAAATTTAATTTGATTTTCACGCACAATATGTGACGTATTTAAAGCAGTGGTTGCTATTATACATGTAGCCCAAACTATTATATTATGACTTTTGACATGCTGTAATGTCATAATGTCATAAATATATTTAACATTCATTTTCAAATTGTCCCAAGTTGTAATATCATAATCATGTCATAATAATAATAATGGACAGAAGATATTGGTCACATGTTCGCAATATGATTGGTCGGCACTCCGATAAAATTGTTCTGGAATTGTGAATGGGCAGTGTCACCGATCAGATGGATAAAATTTTAGATTTAAAATCCGTTGAAACAAATTACTATTACCATTCACGTTTCAACGGATTTTTATATGTTTTCATAATGTGACAATAGTAATAGTAACTAAAATCCGTTGAAACGCGAATTTAATATTAATGTTAATATTACAGTCAAATTTCGATAAGCAGAACTTTTGGGAATCACAAAAATAGGATCGGCTTATCAAAATTCGATCTACGATACAAACAGGGCTGACAGCGTAAAGGGTTAAAAGCCTAATTTAGTAATAATCATCTTGACTAAACTTGACTAAACTTGATTGTTGGGTGATCGACCATTTTTAAACCGAATTTTATCATCATAAGACGAATTTTCATGATCATATTCGGCTTAGAAAGTTATATTTTTATTATTTTGTACAAACCATTAAGTTCGGTTTATCAAGTAAAGTAGAAATTATAATAAAATTCGGCTTAACGAAATAATTTTTATTAAATATGATTTAGTTAGCCAATTTTGCATCGTTATAAAGCGAAAATCGGTTTATGGTAGTTCGGTTTATCGAGATTTGACTGTATCCCTTAAACGGTTAACTAATAAATTTCGGATTTTTATTGGTGACACGAAATTCAAATTTAAATGTAGCACAAAAATTTTAAATTGCGCACAAAAAAATCAAAATAAATCAACAACTTTTAAATATTTCCGCTTCTGCGCGTTGTGCATATGTGTGAAGCGCGAATTTTGGTTTTAACTCGTGTTGGTAAGTCGTGGTCTGTATTTGGTGCACTACCATCTTCAAGAGCATGCATGTGACCTTTTTCTTTGTTTTTATTTTATATATGAAATCGCGTTGTTTAATGTTAATTGTAAAATCGATCATGGCTGTTTATAAAGGCAAAAAATTTGAGCTTGACATTAAAAGAACATTGGGCGATTATAAAATAAATCTTGTGAGGACCAAGTGAGTGTTTTTATTCACTAAGTGATTGTTGAGTTATTATGTATCTGAAGTTACGCTGCTACTAGGATTTAAATGAAAAGAAATTGAAAGCACTTCGTGGCCACAACTTGTGAAAGTTACCAGTTGGGTAACCGGACCTAATGTGTGGTGGAAGACCTGTTATGAACGTTTATTTTGCTTCTTGATAATGATGAAACAAAACTTATTTTTTTTTATATTATTATTATTATTTTCTAGGCATTCCGGGAATGGAGGAATTGACTTAACAGGGTCATTTGTTTATGAGGGTGAAAGATATGTCCTAGTTGTCCAATGCAAAGTAATCATGTTATTTAATATGAATATATATATATTATTAAATATATTATTAATGGTTTTTTTTAATTTATAGCACAGCAAGACCTTCCCTCAAGCTGTTCATGAATTAAAAGGTGTAATGGCTACATACCTCAATTGGTATATTAGTTGTTAATTCCGAACACCAAATAAGTAAACAAATGAGAATAGAAGCTAAGTTGGCATCATCTAATATCATCATATCAGATGAAAATAGCATATATGATGACCTAATTTGCTTCATTGAAGATCTACAACGTAAAGAAGTTCTCAGACATTTAAAAGAAAGAAAGGCCTTGAGGGAAGAGTTGAAAGAAGAGGTGAAAGAAGAGATAGAGAATGAAGTGAAAACAAAGTTGGTGAAGGAGTTGAATGTTATTTTTTAGTTATTATCATTTTATTATTTTTAATATTTTTATTATTATTATTATTATATATAAATAAATTTTAATATGTTTTTATATTTTTTTTATAAAATTAATTGAACAGACAGATGTTGGATAATTTAATTTATTATATTTCTAGTGTATGAAAATCTGTAAAACAATTTCTATTATCCTTGAAACATAGTGGAACTTTACATAAACTGCAGTAAACTACAGATTTTAGTTCATTACCTGAAAATTTTCCCTTCTTCTTTTTGTCTTTTGTATCTGCACCACACACAAGTTTTTCTCTTACCCATTCCAGGAAAATGCCTACCAAGCCTTAATCTTTCTGTAGGTAAAGCAAGGTTACTTGTTGTTATGTAAATTGCTCTATCATTTCTTGAAGCTCTTGAAGTACTTCTTGAAGTACTTCTTGAACTTCTAATGTTAATATCATTTTTTTCATCCAAACCAAAATTAATTAAATCCCAAGCCAAGTTTATTCTAAAATCTTTGTGATCCAAATCTCCATTGCAATTTTTATGGATCAAGTAACAATTAACAATTACAGTATCTAGTAACCAAAAGAATATTGGTATCCAAGTTCTCCTTGCTGTCAATTGAGTAGCATAATAACCACGTAATTGATCAGCTATGTCTACACCACCCATATGAGCATTGTAATCATCTATTACTTTTGGAATTGGAAGAGATTTTTTAACTGCATTTCCAAATACTTGTCTGACTTTTGCTGCATTTGTACTTGTGATCCTTGGACAACAATGCATTTTTTCTACTCTATTTTCTGCACCAGTAATTTCATGGATTGTAGTCAACATTGTTACTGGTCCATTGTCCATGGCTGCACTAAAGACATATGAATTGTTTCTTGAACAAGAAATGTCAAAGGATTCTGCGCAGGGTGCAGTTCAAGAGTTTCCAGGACTTTACAATTATCCATTATTTCTTAAAGAACTAAATTACACAAACCTATTAATGTTGGAAGGGATGCATCGAAGGATTCCAGGAATACTTCAAATGCTAACAAATGTTGGTGTTTGTCTAACACTTTCATTATGAATAATAGTGTTATGAATTACGAAATATGGACAACAGTATCATGCTATGCCCCAATATTCAATTCTCGAAATACATATGCCTTTTCCAAAAAATAATCTCCTGAAGACATTAACAAAAAAATTGCACCAGACTGGTATGTTTGTGCTTCTAAACGGTGCTCCTATGCACTGAGTGAGAAATTTTCTTTATATTGTTGATATTAGTCTACATTTGCATATTGCATCTAACATTTTTAATGCATAATCACTCACGGTAAATATTTTAAATGATTTCCTCCAGTTACATCTCGACATCAATCTTTATGATAACTCTAATGAGCGTGTTGAAGAAACTCTTGATTGTCTTAAGAAACTCATCTCCACCCAGCGATGTTTTTTGAATCTTCGGTTGGTGTTTAAAAATGGACCTGGGAAAAGGCTAATTGAAATATTTCAGTCCCATCCTGAATTCTTCAAACGTCTTGAACTTGTAAAATGGAACTTCGACGGATGTGTTCAAATTTGTGCGAATTTGCAATCACAAGCCTTCCTCAAATTCCAATCTCTGACATTTTGGGCACACCTATAACTTAAGGCCATCAAAAAACAATAGAAATTCTAGGGTTACAACTGCACATTTAGATGATGATGGCGAAATCACTTCAATGCCATACTTTTACTTTCACCCAGATAAATCATCGGTAGTGTATGGTAGGTCTCCTCCAGTTGTAATCCAATCACGGGTAACCCAACCACTACCGAATTACCCCGAGCTCCTCCTCAAAATATGGGAAAGTATACTGGATCGTCATCGTCTTCATCATTAAAATTAAAATAATATTCTAACTCATAAGGGTATTGAAAGCAAGCGGTAATTCTACAATCATTAAATTATTCTTCATAATCAGCTTTCTGATATTTGAATATTCTAAAATAAATTTTAAACATCACAATTAGGTATCATTGGATATTTATGACCATTTTTCTATATCAAAAGCAACATAATTCAGTTGTAAATTTATTATGTAATGATGAATTCCAATAGTTGAAAGGCTAATTAATGATGTTATTATTATTTTATTAAAAACTATAAGCAAGGAACGGTGCGCCATCCCCCAAAAAAAAGGTCGCTGGTATCACCAAGACTACTACTACTTTGTTAATATTATATATAGTAAATAAATATTTTATCATCACAATTAATTTTTCCAATCTCTTGTATTCGATCAAAGTACTTTTTGAACATTTTATTTGAGAAAATCAAATTTCAGTTTTCCAAGGAGTTTGCTCTACTCAAGCTTGGCATTCAGCATATATATGAGGTAAGGTTAAACCCTGTGTTTTATAAAAGATCAACGAGAAGGCATTATTATGGAGCGAAATTGTGTAAACTTTATTAATTAATTAAGAAAAGTATTTTCATCACTTGTTATTGTAACATGTGTATGTCACAATAAAACAAATAGGATTTTTTTTGTCTTGTCTTGTCTCGATGTTAGTCTCCTTAATATTATCCAATGTTAGATAACACAAACTTTATTAATTAATTAGTAAATGTATTTTCATCACTCGTTATTATAACACATGTG